GGCCCAGCCGCTCCGCGGCATGCGGTATCTTCCCGGACCGGGGCACGAACCCGTGTCCCCTGCATCGGCAGGCGGACTCTCAACCACTGCGCCACCAGGGAAGCCCAATGTGAACCCTTTTTTTTCCGAATGAAATATTCTCACTAGTGAATAGAAATTCTTGTTTTCCTTTGTTACCGTGAACCAGAATGGAAGAGGAGGAAACCCTTCCTCTTCACTAAATTTTCCCCTTTCTTTAAGGCCCAACTTCTGTGACTGGTTCCCTCACCACTCCAACTTGTCATAAAATTCTTTTTACTCTGGCTTTAATCGCCATTATTAATACCAATTATTTCGTATTTAATTTACTTGGCCTTATGATGTCATTTGTCTTATACGGATGTTTTTTTCATCTACCGGTAGATGGTAAGCTCCAGGAGAGCAGGGAACCTTCTTTTCAACATTATATAATGGGAAATTCCCAAATCTCCATGGTGGAGAGAAAGTGGTGTCATCAACTTTCACATGCCTTTCATTCATCTTCTTCAAAGTGATCTGTAACCGATCTTGTTTCATTGAAAGCCCCTCACCCACCCCTTTACCCTAGATTATTTTGAAACAAATGTCAGGGACTGTGGTAGTCTTGGTGTTCCCAGTAACATCCTAGCTCGGGAATCAAACTCAATAGGATAGGGAAGCAATTATTCTTAGTAGGGAACTAGCGCTATTATTGTAAACCTCATATTCTGTACCCAGAAAAGTGAAAATACTATTGTATTTGTATTTATTTCATGTGCCTTCAAAGGATGAGCAATTTCAGGTCTGGGAATATAGAACCTGCATCATTATGCACCATAGCTTCTTTTTATTAAATTCTGTTTCCCCTGGCACTGGCTTCTCTTTGTTTTAGTGTCCTGCCGCAGGCTGGAGCTGTGAGGGGAAAACCTGTAATTCTTTGAGTTTGGCCCCTGTTGAGCTTGTGGAGAAAAGGGAAGTCTCCAGATCTGGATAGTCTACTCAATGACTGTGCCACTCATTGAACAGAATCTTTGATCTTGGTGAATCAGTCTCTCTGGGGTCATGAAAAAAGGAGACAAGATTTAGCACTCACTTTATCATGTTAAGGGCCATTTGAAATTAAGTCTGCTGGAGAAACTTGGGTCTACTTCAGAGATTTTTTAAATTAATTAATTAATTAAATAAATTTATTTTTGGCTGCATTGGGTTTTCCTTGCTGCGTGCGTGCTTTCTCTAGTTGCGGAGAGCGGTGGATACTCTTCGTTGCGGTGCATGGCCTTTCATTGCGTTGGCTTTTCTTGTTGCGGAGCACAGACTCTAGGCATGCGGGCGTCCGTAGTTGTGGCACGCGGCCTTAGAGCACAGACTCAGTAGTTGTGGCGCATGGGCTTCATTGCTCCGCGGCATGTGGGAACTTCCCGGACCAGGGCTTGAACCCTTGTCCCCTGCATTGGCAGGCGGATTCTTAACCACTGCGCCACCAGGGAAGCCCTACTTAAGAGATTTTTGAAATGCTGCTTCATGGGTAGGTGCTTCTGCCTTGTATTCTGTTGAAAGGATGAAGATACGGAGGCTTCCAGGAGGTGATGCAAAAAAAAAAAATACGGATACAAAATAACATTGAGACTTCTGATTTCAAGAATGTGTTTTGTGTTAAAAAGTTTTCTCAATTGTAAATAAATGTGAAAACTGTTGCTATCATCAGTGAGTAGTCCAATCAAATAATTCTGAACAACCGTTTAGGTGTGCAGATCAGGAGCAGGTAAGGATCGGGCTTGGTGGAAGAGTGCAGCTTTGAGAAATCTTTAGGAATTAAGAAGATGGGACTGAGTAATACTTTTTGTATCTTCACATGTTCCTAACCTCAATCTGGGAATAGGCTCACCACCTCTTAATCTACTTTTTTTTTTTTTTTTTTTTTTTGGGTGTTTGGTCCCCCACCGCTGTGGCCTCTCCCGCTGTGAGGCACAGGCTCCGTTTTTGCGGTACTTGGGCCTCTCACTGTTGTGGCCTCTCCCGCTGCAGAGCACAGGCTCCGGACGCGCAGGCCCAGCGGCCATGGCTCACGGGCCTAGCCGCTCCGCGGCATGTGGGATCTTCCCGGACCGGGGCACGAACCCGCGTCCCCTGCATCGGCAGGCGGACTCCCAACCACTGAGCCACCAGGGAAGCCCTTAATCTACTTTTTAACATGCCTTCCAAAGGCCATTTGTGGGTTTATTCTCTTCCTCCATTAAAGTTATGAGACAAATACACCATCATTGAGCTTAGAATTTTGCTTTACAGTTTTCTATGGGCCTAAAGTATTTTTTTAGTGATGGGCTTCTAGCCCACTGAATTACAAATCTGTGACCATTTATTATGTATCTGTTTGCAAGGACTGTGCTGGGGACTGTTGAGGGTTATGAGGTAAACTTTTGTTTGGCCCCTCTAGGAGAGACTCAGATGGCTACACAAAGTGGGAGTACATTAAGAGCCACCAGAAAAATCCACAGAAAGATTTATGGGGCTTCAAGGAGGTGAAGGATGGTAGTACATTTGGTGACAATTATCAGGGACACCTTCATAGAAGAGGAAACTTTTGAGTTGAATATAGAATGGTATAGAATTTGGATAGGCAGATTCAGAGATATAGGAGGAAACAGTTCAAATTTTGATAACCTAGATGCTCTGTAACATTCTCAGCCTGTGAGTTTGGTACTTGATGAATCTGGATAAATAGGCATCAATAAGTATAATTCCAATTCCAACATGTGGGGTATTCCTTCCATACCATCAAGCAATTCTCCCCCATGAACTGGGTGTTCTGCAGTTCATTTCAACTCTGACACTATGTACCTGGAGATAGCCTCAGATCACACAGGTTAAAGGCTCAGTCCTAAAAGACTGTCCCCTGCCCCCTTCAGATGCCAGTGGCATGTCCAGGTTGTCACCTCTCCTTCTGACTATAGATCAGAGGTTCCAACACCCCCTCCTTGGGTTCGATTAATTTGCTAGAACGGTTCACAGACTCAAATGTTATACTTAATAGGTTACCAATTTATTATAAGAGGGTATAACTCAGGAACAGCCAGATGGAAGAGATGCATAGAGGGCAAGGTATGGGGAAAGGGGCATGGAGCTTCCATTCCCTCTCTGAGAGAGCTACACTCCCTGCACCTGCATGTGTTCATCAACTTGGAAATTCTCCAGATCTCATCCTTTTGGCATTTTGTGGAGGCTTCATTCATTACAAGGCATGATTGATTAAATCATTGGCCATTGGTGACTGAGCTCAATCTCCAGCCCCACAACCCTTCCTGAGTGTGTGTGGGGGGATGGGACTGGAAGTCCCAACCCTTTCTATTCACGTGGTTGGTTCCTCTGGCAACCACCCCCCTTCCTTAGATGATCTAAGGGCATTCTAAAAGTCACCTCATTAATATAGCAATGGATGCTTCCTCGCTGTCCTGGAAATTCTAAATTTTAGGAAGTTTGCCAGGAAACAGGGTCAAAGACCAAATATATATTTCTCATTATAAATTCTTTTTGTAAGGCCAGTCACAAAAGTTCAGGCCAGTTCAGGAAGGCAATTATTTCAGTCCCAGATGTGTCCCACACTCTCTGTACAGGTCTTTGTTTTTGACCCAGGTTTTCAATTTGCCTCATCCATCTTATTACTTATAAATGTTTTCATTCAATGGTTGCTTTACAGCTTTGAAACTCAGAGGAATGGACTGGTGTTTATCTATGACATGTGCGGTTCTAATTATGCCAACTTTGAGCTGGATCTTGGCAAGAAAGTCCTAAACTTGCTGAAGGTAAGGCTGTGAAATGGCCCTTTCAACCCCCCTTCAATGGTTAGGGTGATTTTTTCTATTCTTTATGAGATTTAGGAATGATGTAAACTTCAGACATTATGTTCAGTTTAAAGGTCACCTGTAAATGATGACCCATATCTGCTTCCTCAGAACAAGAAACAATCTTAAAAGTAAAGTGGGAGGAATTAAAATAAAATACACAGGAACACTGAGTCATAAAGGTGAGATGTCTCTTTCCGGGAGGTTTTTTTTTTTTTTTTTTTTTTTTTTTTTTTTTTTTTTGCAGTACGCGGGCTTCTCACTGTTGTGGCTTCTCCCATTGCGGAGCACAGGCTCCGGACGCGCAGGCTCAGCGGCCATGGCTCATGGGCCTAGCCGCTCTGCGGCATGTGGCATCTTCCTGGACCGGGGCACGAACCCGTGTCCCCTGCATCAGCAGGCAGACTCTCAATCACTGTGCCACCAGGGAAGCCCTCTTTTCAGGAGTTTTGTAGAATAAGAATTAATGAGGCCTAGGTATAGCCATTGTCTATGAAAAATGTCACCTAACCAGTAACTTGCAGACTTTTTGTCTCAACCTAGTCAGAAATATGTTTTACATTGCAACTTAGTATACAATAGTATTAATATATGTACACTAACTATACATATACATGTAAAGTTATATACATAGATAGGTTCTTAATCTCTTACCTCAAACTCTTAGGTCCAGAGATATTATTTAATATTTTGAAGTTTAAAAGATAATGTGGTCTTTATGTCACTTTAATATCAAATATTTCTGCAATGAAATGTATTATTCATATCATAACCTTTGGAGAAGAACAAAGGTTATAAATAGCTTATGGGATTTCAGGTCAGATTTTGCTGTCCCATGAATTTTTGCACCAAACTTAAAAAAGAAACTAGTGGCTTTCAGAGCGGTTTAGATTTCAGAATTTGAGCATACAGGTGTATGTATGTGTGTGTACATATTTATAAAACAAGAAGTTTCACAAAACAAGCTTTACTTTTACTCTGTACAATCATTTTGATTATTCTGTTCTATAACATTTTTTAAATGTTAGTCATAACCTACGAAATTGATTTCAGGACCCACTGAGTGACAACCTGCAGTTGGAAAACATTGATCAAGGAGTCTGTGTAGTCTTTTTTTTTTTTTTGGCCAAGCTGTGTGGCATGTGGGATCTTAGTTCCCCCACCACGTATTGAACCCATGCCCCCTGCATTGGCAGCGCAGAGTCTTAACCACTGGACCACCAGGGAAGTCCTGTAGGAGTCTGTGCAGTCTTTGTTCCAGGACCTCACTTGGGAGTACTGTGGAACTAGATGTTTAGAAGTGTTTATTTACTATTACAGCTTTACAACAGAAATTATATAAAGAGAGTATTATACTGCATGTTGTTTTCTGGGACTTCACTTGTGATTGTATTACTAAAATTCCTATTGTGGCATTTAGCTTTGATTCATTCCTTTTTATTGACGGGTGAAGGATTTATACCTTTTAATTCCTCATCCATTGATGAATACACCAGTTTATTTATCTACTTCTTTTGATGGCTGTTTGGGTCATTCTCTGATTTTTGCTATTATAAACAGTGCTGCTATGAACATTTTATACATGTCTTCTGGTGCATGTGTGCAAGAATATCTCTAGGGCAGTGTTTCTCAACCATTTTTTCATTATTGCCTCACTAAGGAGTCTTTTTTAGACTCCCCCCACCCCCAGTTGTTGTTCTTCTAATGAAATTTTAATACCACAGATATAATGTATATATCTTGAGGTACTGAATGTATATCTATGCTTTATGCAAAAAAAGAGTGTGTATGTTTGGGTTGTTTTTCCCATTCCCCACTCTCCTCAGAACTAATTTCACCCCCTTGGGCATGATATCACCTCTATTGAAAATGCATGCTCTAGGGGAATTCCCTGGTGGTCCAGTGGTTAGGACTCCGCACTTCCACTGCTGGGGGCCTGAGTTCGATCCCTGGTTGGGGAACTAGATACCGCATGCATACCACAACTAAGAGTGCACATGCTGCAACTAAGAAGCCCGCATGCCACAACTATGAACCCACATGCTGCAACAAAGGATCCTGCATGCCAAAACTAAGACCTGGTGCAGCCTAAATAAATAAATAAATATTAAAAAAAGAAAAGAAAAGGAAAGAAAATGCATGCTCTAGAGTATACATCTAGGAGTAGAATTACTGGGTCATAAGGTCTGGGAAGATTGAGTTTTATAAGATAGTGTTTAATTGTTTTCCTAAGTGGTTGTACCCACCTGCCATGTGTAAAATTTCCACATCCTCTCCAGTACATGATAATGTCACACTTCTTAATTTTTCCCTATCGAGTGGGTATAAAATGGTATCTTGTGGTATAACTTACCTCTCTCTTATTAGTGAGATTAAGTATCCTTTCATATATTTATTGGCCATATATGTTTTCTTCTGCTGCAAAATGCCTGTTTATGGCTTTTACCCATTTTCCTATCATCCATTTCTGTAGTTTTGTACTAATCTATTTCTCTGTGTGTATATATACATACATATACTGTCTCAGTTTATAGCTTGTTTTTTCACTTTTTATACAATCCTTTTAACTAACAGAAGTTCCTAGTTTTAGTATGGTTAAATGAGTCTGTATTTTATTTTCTGCTTAATATGTTTTGCATCGTAAATCCTTCCCTATTCCAAAGTCAGAAAAAATATATTAGCTATTTTATTTTATTTTACTGCTGTACCACTGATTCCACCATGTGTATTAATGTTTTTAGTGATTTTTTTTATTGTGGTAAAATATACATAACAAAATTTACCATTTTAACCATTTTAAGTGTACAGTTAAGTTAGCATTAAGTACATTCACAATGCAACCCATCACCACTATCCATTTTCAAAACTATTCATCATCCCAAACAGAAACTCTGTGCCCATTAATCAATATATCCCCACCCTGCCCCACAGCCCCTGGTAACCTTTATTCTACTTTCTGTTGTTATGAATTTGCCTATTCTACGTCCTCATATAAGTGGAATCATGCAGCATTTGTCCTTTGTGTCTGATCACTTAGCATAATATTTTTAAGATTCATCCATATTGTAACATGTATCAGAATTTCATTCCTTTTTAAGGCTGAATAATATTTTATTGTGTTGTTAATCCATTCATCTGTCAAACAGTTGGGTTGTTTCCATTTTTGGCTATTGTGAATAATGGTCCTATGAACATTGGTGTTACAGCATCTGTTTCAGTCCTTGCTTTCAGTTCTTTTGTGTATATGCCTAGAAGTGGAATTGTTGGATCACGTGGTAGTTCTACATTTAACTTTTTGAGAAGCTATTTTCTTTTAAAAACTTAAACTTTTTTGTTTTTGTCATTTAAGACCTTAATCCATCTGGAGTTGATTTTTGAGTATGGTATGAGATGTAGGAATCTGACATTTTTTTTCCATATGGATAGCTAATTTTTTTCCAGTTTTGCAACTAAATAGTCCCTCCTTTCCACAACATAGGCTTTCTACTTGTCAGTTTTAACAGAATCACAATAACCTGGTAACTTAATATATCACAGACAGTTTAATCATCTAACCATCTTTCTGTATTATTCATATTGTTTTCAGGTTTAAATAATACTATTATGATCATTTAAGCTTTTTCTTTTAAATTATTTTAACAAGGTATTTCTAAGACATGGATTATTTGGCTAAAGATTATGAATATTCTTAATCTCTCTTATACATTACTAGGTTACCCTCCATAAAAGTGGAAAAAAATTTACACTGTCACCAAGAAATACAGGTATCTATTTCCTTCAGCCATCCCAGTACTGCATTCCATAAATTTTCTATTTTTTTCTTTTTTTAACATCTTTATTGGAGTATAATTGCTTTACAATGGTGTGTTAGTTTCTGCTTTATAGCAAAGTGAATCAGCTATACATATACATATATCCCCATATCTCCTCCCTCTTGTGTCTCCCTCCCACCCTCACTATCCCAACCCCTCTAGGTGGTCACAAGGCACCGAGCTGATCTCGCTGAGCTATGTGGCTGCTTCCCACTAGCTATCTGTTTTACATTTGTTAGTGTATATATGTCCATGCCACTCTCTCACTTTGTCACAGCTTACCCTTGCCCCTCCCCATGTCCTCAAGTCCATTCTCTATGTCTGCATCTTTTTTTTTTTTTCACATCAGACGGGTGATGTGCCACAGTTGTAACAAGGTTGGAAGGAGGCACATGTCACACAAGCGCGTGAACACCCAATCATCACACTTATGAACTACAAAAGGATCGATGTCTGCATCTTTATTCCTATCCTGCCCCTAGGTTTTTCAGAATCATTTTTTTTTTTGGATTCCATATATATGAGTTAGCATACAGTATTTGTTTTTCTCTTTCTCACTTACTTCACTCTGTGTGACAGACTCTAGGTCCATCCACCTCACTACAAGTAACTCAATTTCGTTTCTTTTTATGGCTGAGTAATATTCCATTGTATATATGTGCCACATCTTTATCCATTCATCTGTCGATGGACACTTAGGTTGCTTCCATGTCCTGGCTATTGTAACTAGAGCTGCAATGAACATTGTGATACGTGACTCTTTTTGAATTATGGTTTTCTCAGGGTATATGCCCAGTAATGGGATTGCTGGGTCGTATGGTAGTTCTATTTTTAGTTTCTTAAGGAACCTCCATACTGTTCTCCATAGTGGCTGTACCAATTTACATTCCCACCAACAGTGTAAGAGTGTTCCCTTTTCTCCACACCCTCTCCAGCATTTATTGTTTGTAGATTTTTTGATGGCCATTCTGACTGGTGTGAGGTGATACCTCATGGTAGTTTTGATTTGCATTTCTCTAAAGATAAATGATGTTGAACATCCTTTCATGTGTTTGTTGGCAGTCTGTATATCTTCTTTGTTGGCAATCTGTATATCTTGGAGAAATGCCTATTTAGGTCTTCTGCCCATTTTTGGATTGGGTTGTTTGT